TTGCATCAGTTGGCTAAACCACAGCTCCCTCCACATCCAGTTCTGCTGCCTCACCTGCATCTACAGAGCTGACTGTGGTTGAAGGGAAACATTCAAACACGTTAACGTGGTCGCACTTTAAATCCGCAACCCTTAACTTGCTGAGGTGAGCCTTCAGCATTGCCTGGGAATCACTCTGCCTTTCTTCCATCTCTTTACCCCGCCCCGCCCCCACGTTCCCAAAGGATGCTTTCTTGCGTTCTCTCCCAGCACCTCCTCCCCCAGCCTCACTCTCAGCTGTTGATGTGGCTTCCCATTTTTCTGTGAAAATAGAAGCAACCAGAAGAGAATTCCCGTTCTACCTCAGCCACGTTACTCAGATAGAGCTCCTCACAAAGCCATCCTCCCACTGCTCACAAACCTGGCCCCAGGCATCCTCTCCTCTCTCTCCCTTCATCAGCATCTCTCGCTCCTGGACCGTCCTCCATCAGCATATGAGCATGTGGCTAGATCGCCTATCTGCGCTTAGCAGCCCAGCGTATAACCATGACGGCACCAGGGCACACACACACGCTAGAGTATTGTGCTCTGTCGTCATCTGCTCTCCACACTTGTCTTGCCACCTCTGACTGCTACATCCTATTATAACCAAAGTGTTGGGCTTATCTTGAGGCTCTGGTGCCTCTCCTCCCATTCTAACTGATCCCGCCTCGACGCGGGTTTCTCGCACGCACTGCTGCTGTGAAGCTCGCGGGTGAGGGAGACATGGCCAAGTCTAGTTATCTGACTCAGCACGGTTGGCTCTTCCCTCCTCCTGGAAGCACTTGGTCTCTCGGCTTCCTTGACATCACCCTCTTCCAGGGGTTCCTCCAGGATTACGAGCTAAGCTGTTCCCTCTCGGCCTCCTTGACGGCTTCCTCTTCCTCTTACGGATTCGCTAACTTCAAATTACGGAAGCCTCAAACGGTGGACTCCTTTTGGATCTCGTCTCCGCTCGTGCATTTGAATACTGTTTGCATACCAGTTCCAGTTTGTTCGATGCTGATGCGCGGCAACCCCATGACGGTCGGAGTAGAACTCACTGCATTGACAGGGTGTTCAGTAACTTGATTTTAGAAGTAAGTCGGCAAATCTTTTCTTCAGGGATGCCTCTGGGGGGATTTGAACTGTTGGATAGTAGCTGACTGCTTAATAATTGTTGCCACTAGGGATTACTGTCTGTATACCAGAGGCGCATACATTTCTATTTCCAGCCCTCTTTCATGAACAATAGACTCCATGTTCTATTGCCTTCTTGGCACTTCTGCTTGTCGACTGGGCATCTTGAACTTCTGTTCAGAATGAAGCTTCTGCTCTTTTCTGTGAAACTTCTTTCTGTGCCTTCTCCAGCACAATGGAAAGCTCAAACGGGGATCCTTAAAGGCATCTAGGATTCGTCATTCTTGAAAATGTATTTGGAATCTAACCCTAGCTCACACCTCATCCACTGTTCCAAGCCACCATCACCACTCACCTGGCTCTTTCTCTCCAATCATCCTACTTTTGCCTTCGTCCCCAGCAGCAAGCCTGTTCGAGTGAAGGTCAGACCATGAGATCATGCAGCTCTCCTCCCTCGAGTCCTTGAAAAGGCAACCCATCTTACTCAGACCAAAAGCAGTCCTGCCATTAGTCGAAGAGCCCCCTCCCTTCCAGACCTCCTCTAGGACTCGCCAGCACTCACGCTCCTCAGCCCCTCTGCCTGCTGGGCTTCCCCCGTGCATCTGGCCTGCACCAACCCGAGGCTGCACACTTGCTATCCCCCCCCCCCCCCGGGGGGTGTCACAGAAACTGTGCTCTCTCTCTGTTTTTCTTTCTTTCAGGTCTTCTCTCTCTCTCTTTTAAAAGTATTTTTAATCATTTTATTGGGGGCTCTTACAATCAGCACAATCCACACATCAATTGAAGCAGGCATGTTTGTATATATGTTGCCCTCATTCTTTTCTAGACATTTACTTTCTATCAGGTCTTTACGCAAATGCC